CAGCTCAGCCCACCAGGGGGCGAGGCTGGCTGGCATGTGGTGCTGGGGGATTGAACCGCGGTCCCTGATGCCTTGCCAAGCTTGTTCTAAGTAGGTGCTCTAGACCACCGAGCCATCTCTCCAGCCCCTACAACTTGAACTCTTGCTACCACCTCTGGGTTTGCAGAACCAGCCTCAGGCCAAGTGTCTTCCCAGCTTTGCTCTGAGACTTACCTGTTCCTCTTCTCTAACACAAGGCAGTGACCTCAATCTAATGACCTCAGCCCCACCCTGACGCCTACTTTCTGGTGGACACACTACAGACCCTGAATAGCACCAGTCACTTCTGCCTGAAGCTCTCCTTCCTGCCGGTGCATCTTCTGCAGCCTCTAAAGCCTCCAGCCTTGTCACTCTAACCCCCAGCTCCCAGCTCCGTCTGCTCCCTGTAAGCCTACTCCAGCTGCTCTAGGTGTCTTGCTCCTCGACCCTGTGCAATCCACTCCTGCGCTGTCACTGCGGGTCTACCCTTCTGCTTTTGTTTCAGAGGCACTGGCATGAAGTTGCTACTGCCTCAGCTTGGTCTTCAACAACTTGGTTTTTTAGGTGATCTACTGTCATAAGAGGAATGAAGGCATTCCCCATGAGTACTATCTTTTCACCTTGAAGAATTACTTTTCTATGTGTTCAGTGTTTCTGTGTCTCTGAAGTTGAGGACCTGACCCCCCAAAAATAAAGCTGGATGTGGTGGCATACACCTATAATCCCAGCACTTGAAGGCTGAGGCAGGAATACTGTTGAAAGTTCAAGACCAGCCTAAGCTATGAAATGAGCTCAAGGCCAGCCTGACCCAGTCTGAAGACAACAAAAACGGTTCTGCCAAAAAAAAAAAAAAAAAAGTAGCCAGGGATGACCTCTATCCCAAGAGTATTAGAACCTTTAGTTTTCCTATCACTAGCTAAATGAAAAAAAAAAAAAAAAGACAATGAAAAAAGGAGCAGCAGCTTCCAACAGCTGGGCTCCTTCCCACACATGCTGTAAGGAGTAAGACACAGTGTCTCCTTACTCTTCAGATACTGTGCAATTCCATGAATTTTGTTTGAGACAGGATACGGTCCAGGTGGGACTTAAAACCCAGGATGGCCTTGAACACACAACCGTTACCTTCCTCCATCAGCCTCTGGAGCACTCACTACAGTGGTGCCACTGCATCTGACTCGAGATTTTTTACTTGTATTACACAGTATATAAAAATTGAAGGACCAGCAAGATAGCTCAGCAGACTAAGCACCTGCTTTAGTGCAGACTAAGCACAGGGACCAGGTTTGATCCCGGGTCCCGTGTGCTGCGCCAGCCCTGCCCCCAGGAGCCTGAGCTACATAGAGACCTGGTACCAAATATATAAATGAAAAGGGGGGGGGCAATCTTTCGGCAGTTTAGTACTTAAGTCTTCATTTGGTCTTGGTTAGGAGTCTTCCCAGGGGATGCTTTTCCTGATCTACTTCTCTGGGAATCCCACCTACTGTTTATTCTCACGGTGCTGGGGACTACCGCAAGCTAACAGCAGGCTTATGCGAGCCCATCTCCGTGCACCTGCCCTTCTGGGCTCCTAAGTGTACTTCACCGAGTGCATCACTGTACGCCCGGCGGCTGCTCACCTCTACACTGCAGGTCCCTCCAGCACAGGTTCTAGGTGTTACTCATCTTTACATTCTTAGCGTGTGCGCCCAGATAATAGTTGGAATTCAGTAACAGCTGACAGAAAAAGCAATTTTTCTTTTTTCAATTCTACCTATAAAAGGCATACTTTGTATCAGTTTATTTTAAAAGATGTTTTATTTAGCTCACAGGCATACTGTTTTTGTAATTAGACTTAAGGCTGGGATGCAACTCAGCAGCAACAGGCCTTGGATTTCATTCCCAATACAGCAACCCCCCCCAAAAAAAAAAACAAAAAAAAAACTTTTAAAAAGACACAGATCTTTCTGTTAAGTTCCTGTCTATCCAACACCCCTGAAAGCATTTCCTTAACCTTTCCAGACTGCCAGACCACGAGAACGGGGCAGGGGTTGAGAAACGAACGGACCTGAAGAATGGTTATTTTACAGGTTTCAACCTCTTTATAAATCCTTTCTCCAAGAAAACGGCCATCCAGGAACATAAAATTCTAATCTGAAGCCCAGACCCAGGAGTCCTTGGTAGTCCCCAACATGCCTGCCAGTCTACCCTCCATCCTAGCTTCTTTGAGTCTCACAGTACAAAGGCTTGCCCTAGAGGCCCAGAGTGCTAGCAGGACTAGAGTGTACCTGGTCAGCTGTGTGATCACTGTTCTCTTCTGTAGCGCTACTGCTGTCCACTTAACGCTAAGTGCTAGGGTCTCCATGGAGTTGGCAGATGCTTTAAGAAATGAATGCGCTCCCCAAAAAGGAACAGCATGGTGGTGCATGCATTTAACTCCAGCACTTGGGAGCTGCAGGCTAGATCACAGCAAGTTCAGGGCCAGCATGGGCTATTTAGTGAATTCAAGCTCAGCCTGAACTGTATAGTGAGATCCTGCCTAAAAAAAAAAAAAAAAAAGTTCCACAAAAGGGCAACAACATGACAAACCACCCTAATCAGGAAAAGGGAAAGAATCCTAAATATTCAGCTTCTCTTCTGGGCATTCAGCTATACCTTCATTGCTTACTTAACTGTCACAAAACTTAAAGAGAAATGTGTAAGAACCCAAGTGCTTCTTTATTAGCCAAAACAAGTTACACACACACACACACACACACACACACACACACACACACACACTGCCTCCAATGCTGTCCCTGAGGATAAGCACAAATGTCCCTGGGATGTACGAGGAACCCTTGAGAGAAATGGCTGCCTGGTTTTCAATGCCTTTAAAATGGTATTGAGGAAAAAAAAAAAAAAAATGGTATTGAGGAAAAAGCCTCTGTAAGCGACTAACCATTCACCACCTTTGGGCCTACAGACTCCTAAAGATGGGAATGGATGTGAGTTGACTAAGAATTTAACTGCTGCCCAGAACATTAAGGGGGTAATAGCTAAGACTGATAGGGCTAGGGATATAGCTCAGCAGCCCAAGCGCCTACCTGGCAAGCGCAAGGTCCTGAGTTCAATTTCCAGTAAAAAAAAAAAAAAAAAAAAAGACTTATCACAAGAACCCCGCAATGAGAACACACATATCCAGGATCCCCTCAAAGAACCCAAACTCCTCAGGATCCTTACAAAATGCAGTGTGGCTAAAATCAGAAGTTCTTAGAATCTGTAGAATGATGCAAACCTGGCCCACAGAGGACCACACTGTTCTCAGCACCACTCCTGAAGGCATTCATTGGCAAAGGCTGCCCACTGGGGACACTGCTACCTGCCTGGCTCAAACTCCAAGGACTGGGATAGGAATGGTCAGGCTTGGTAGCCTTCATGCCATCTGGACCTTGGGCTCCTCGGCTGCTCCTGGAAGCTTTTCTTCCAAGCCCCCTGAGGGTGACTCAGAGACTGAGGGTGGCTCTTCTGGAGTCTCAGACAGCACGTAGTAGACGATCTCTCGTTGGCCTTGGGCATTGGTCTGATTCACCACGTGGATAACAGGGCTTGAGCTGTCCTGAGAGGCAGAGAGGGCTGTCCCCTCACTGCGCCCACTCCCTCCTTCTGCCTCTTCTTCTAGTCCTGGCTCCGCCAGCTCTGTTTCTAGAATGATGCCCTGCAGGCTGCTCTCACTCAGCGCCACTCCCAGACCTGAGCCCTCCTGTGGCTGCCGCAGCAGCTGCTGTGTCAGCTCCACACTCTCGTAGCGCACCAGCTGCAGCCGCATGTAGCCGTCTTCATGCTCCTTGTACCTGGCGGTGGAGAAGCATGAGGGCAGCAAACAAGGACAGAGGGTGCAAAAGGGGCCCAGATACTGTGAGTGGAGTGACAGCTGTGAGGGACAGAACTCCTGGGAGTTCGAAAAGACATGGTCTTTCCTGAACTATGTAAAAGAGAAGCCAAGAGGGATCATTATTCAAAATGGAAAATTTTTGTGTAGCAACCCAACCCAGAGAAAGAGATTGATCTGCTACATGCAAGGGCAGGAAACAACACTGAAAGGTTTAGAGAAACGGAGCTGAGGGTCGGGGCGCTTAAGCTCTAATTCTGGCTTCAGGACTTTTTGGTACCATTAACTGGGTCTGCCTCTGTGCCTTGGATTTACAAAGTTCAAAAAATAACCTTGGCCCACTACACTGCTGTTGGACTCTATTAGGGTCGACCCTACAGAGACGGCAGATATTAATGTGCTACCAATTTGAAGTTTCTAACTTGCTGAAAGGTACGGGAAGAAATGTGTGTGATCTGGGGGAAGACCAAGACATACCGAAAACGGGGGTGCCCTGAGGGCCACTTGAACTGGTGCTTCTTACGCAGATGCACGGTGAGGTTGTTGCCGCGTGTGAAGCATTTGTCACACACATGACACTTGTACCTTGGCTCAGAGTCTCCCTGACAGGGAGGGCAGGGGAAGGAGGGAGAAGTGAGGCCAAGCTCCCCCATACTCCTGCCAGCCCTGCCCACCGCCTGCCCCACTCACTTCATGCACTCTGCGGATGTGGTACTTGATGGAGCAGAGGGTCCGGGCACTGAAGCTGCAGTTCTCAAAGTCACACCTGTAGGCCGGGCCCTTGCTGTGGGTGTCCAGGTGTTTCCGGAGGTCAATCATATTCTTGCAGCTGCCAGGAGAGGTCAGGGGGGTTGGAGGGCCTGGGGGACCCTGGAACATAAGCTCTGCTTTCTGGCCCCTGGGTCCCCTTACCTGTAGTCACAACAGTCACATTTAAAGGGCCGGTCCTCACTGTGGCGAAAGCGCATGTGGTTGCGGAGAGAGGAAGGCAGTGGGCAGGTCATGTCACACAGAGGGCACTTATAGTGATTCACTAAGAGGACCGGAGAGGAGGCTATTACTGGGAGTGCGCAGCCTAGAAGGGTGGGCAGGAGGCCAGGGCGGCAGCCACTCACCGTGGTTGCGCATGTGGTCCCTCAACAGTCGCTCTGTGGCAAATCTCTTGGAACAGTGAGAGCACTGGAAGCGCTGTTCTGAGGTGGGGTAGGCAGAGGAAAGGGGGCTGTAGAGGACAGTGCAGAGGCACAGACAGGAAAACCAACCCAGGCAGGAGGGAACCACCCAAGGAGCAAAGGGGAACTACGGACAGGACTTAGAGGTAGGAACCTGAGTTAGAAGGTCGGCTTTACCACGTACTAGCTGTGTGATCTCAGGTAAGTGGTTTAACCTCTCTGAGACTCAGTTTCCTCATCTGCAAAAAGGGGAATAAGAAGCCTACCTCATGGGGCTGTTGTGAGGGTTACCTGAGATAACTGATGTAACACATAGTAAGTACAGAATAACACGATCTAGGAAGACTGGGGGAGGTGCCTGCGCCCAAAAGGGCATCTTCAGGGGCCACCTTCCCTGAGAATGTGCCCAACCCCACTCCAAGCAGAAAGGCCTGCAGCCACCCTCTGACTGCTTACGGTCCAAGGAGGTCTGGCGACGGATGTGATCTAAGAACTTAGTGTTGTTGGCAAACATGCCGCCGCAGGTCGGGCAGGCCACCACCTTCTCCTGGGTGTGGCTGCGGAGGTGCTCCCGAAGCTTACAGCGGTCCTTGAAGGTGCAGGTACAGCCTGTGAAGAAAGGCTTGGTCAGGCCCTGGTCCTGAACTCCCCAAGTTGGACCTGGAACCCACATCTCTGCAGTTAGCTTCCAACCAGGGACATAATCAGTACCCTTTGGCCTCCTGGCACCCGCAGATTTGCTTCCAGATGCCAAAGTGGAGGAATGGCCTACCTTTCCAGCCACACAGCACCACGTGGTTATCCTTGCCGACTGCTTGGTAGTCACAGCACAGGCAGTGTGCATCCACATGCCGATAGAACCACTCAGGGTTGTCGAAGGAGCTCTGTGCCAGGGCAACTGGGAGTGAGGATGGGGTGCGCAAAGACTCATACCCCTAAGCTAAAGAGGGCTTTTGAGCTCTTTCCCATATTAACTTGGTGGGGATAGGGAAAGTCTGAGAAAAGGGGCTACCAAGAACTAGAAATACTAGCAAGAATCTTGGCAAATAAATAAAAGGCACCCCAGGAAAGGTCAAGGTATCTTGAGTTGATCCCCGGTTTCCTTCCACTCCTATTTCGGGCCCTGCCTGCTGACCTCACAATGTTCCCACAGACATAGGAAGTGGTCAGGGATGTCAGGAACGATGTTCCGGCTCTGGAAGTCCAGGATACAGGGGCTGAGGTCGGCCTGGCTCTGCAAGGCCTGCAGTCCCCACTGTTTGAGCTTGGTGTGGTAGCAGTGGAAGTAGACATGGCGGATGAGGTCAGCTGAATTATCCAGAGAGCAAAAGCCACATTCCTGCCACAAGCAGGAGAATTCTTCCTCTGCAGAAAGGGGTTTAGAAGGAAGAGTCATACTTTTGAAGGCTCAGGCTGCCTTCCACCTGAGTGATCTACAGTAGGACTCTGACCAAGTTACCAGGAGCTGATTAAGTAAACAGCAATATGTACTTATCAGAGTCCCAGTCCTTGTCCTCACATAACTCTCAGCCAGGGAAACAGAATATTAATCTATTTGGTTTTTTTTATGTGGAACTGGAGATTGAACTCAGGCCCTTGCGCTTGCCAGGGAAGCGCTTATTCCACTGAGCCATCTTCCCGGTCCCTAGAATGTTTATCTAATAATAACAACTATAAATACAAAGCTGCAACAGATGACAAGAGCCATGGGGTGAGGCATAGGCGATGCCACAAAAGCATCAAACACAAAGATGGGTGTGGTGGCGCACACCTGTTAACCTCAGCACTCAAGCCTGACGCAGGAGGATCCCTGTGAGTTCAAGGCCAGCCTGAACTACATAGGAGAGAACATGTCTCAAAAATAAAACAGAACAAAGAAAATATTAAACAGAAGTAACTCCATGTAGGCAGAGGTACCTTAGGAAGTGTCCCATGTTGAGAGCTAAAGAATGAATATTCATAAGATGAAAAAGAGTGTGGTTCAGGCAGCAGGAAAGACATATGCAAGGCCTGTGCCACAGAGCAGGAACAGCTAGGACAACCTCCACGCAGAGGTACGAAGGAAGACGTGCTCTCCCAACTTCAGAAACCACCCAGCGGCCTTTCCCTCCTCTTCTGCTCAACACTGGCCTTCTGCAAGAATGCACCACCAACTATTTACTGTCTCAACCTATTTCCCACTTCTCTAGCTCCTCTTAGCACCATATTTTAATGCTTTACAGGGATTTACTCATTTTAAAAAGGAGGAACTTTCACTGTGAGTTTTATTTTATTTATTTATTTATTTTTGTATTTTAGGGAAGGGTATACAGGGTGTCCAGTGTCTAACTACTAGATCGGACTCGTAGTGATCCACCTGTGTACAGCCACCCAAGAGCTGGGATTACAGGCGCACGCCACCATGCCCAGTCTGCACTATGAGTTTTAGAGGCCAGTCTGGGCTACAAAGTGAGTTCAAGGCCAGTCTGAACCACACAGAGACCCTGTCTCAGAAAGACAAAAACAAACTTTAGAAAACACAATTATCTCTTTATTTGTATAAATATTATTTGACTTGGAAACTATACTTTGTGGTCACATGACTGAAACAATTCAGGATGAGAAGATAGTCACTGCCATGCTTTTTATAAAATCATCTTTCAAATTACTGTAATCTACTAATTACTGAAGCTGGTTTACTGGATTGAAATCACTTTTTTAAATAAAAGAACATTTCTGAGAACATTTAATAAGTACTGGTTCAAGAATTTTTTTAACTTTAATGCACAGGGTTGTGATTTAAACTGTATTCCTAGCCATTGGTTGGAGTTTAAGAGTAAAGAACACTAATGTAGACTAAAACAAACTGACTGACTGCCAACATCTTACACAGTGCAACCTTTTTTAAAACATAAGAGCAGGGCTGGCCAAATAGCTCAGCAGATTAAAGTACCTGCAAGCAGGTGCAAGGGCCAGGGGTTCATCCCTGGGCTTGCAGTGCCAGCCCTGCCCCTGGGGCACACTGAGACTGCAACAGGGACTGAGTGTGGTGGTTCCCGCCTATAATCCCAGCTCTTGGGAGGCTGTACACAGACGGATCACTATGAGTCCGGATCTAGTAGTGAGACCCTGAACACCCTGTAGACCCTTCCCTAAAATACAAAAATAAAACAAAAGCAGCCAGGTATGGCAATGCACGCCTGCAATCCTGGCACCTGAGAGGCTGCGGGAGGAGGATCACAAGTTTGAAGCTTGTCTGGGCTACATAGGGAGCTCAAGGCCAGCCGGAACTACACAGTGATACCCTAAACAAAAAACCAAAGCCTAGATGGCTTAGTGGCTTAAGAACCTGCCTAGCAAGTGCAAGGTCCGATTTCAGTTCTTAGAACTACAAAATAAATACATAAATAAGAACAACTAATTTGAAGACAACACTATGCCATACAAAAAATGCTGTGAAATTCATATTTTGTTTAGTGAAATTCTGTATCATTTGTAATTTTTCTGTTTTAATACTACTTGGTACTCTCAAGAAAAAAATGAATGAATGAATGAATGAATGGGAGATATGAAGGCAGGGGGAGCTCAAAAAGAATGTTCACTATAGTACTGTCAGTAATTGACTCTTGGGAAGTTACAGAGCTTCACACTCTGTAACTTCACACTCTGCAGAAAGGTCCTGGGTTTGCCCAAAATCACAGTCAATCAAAGTAACTGTCCCAGCGCCACGGAGATGGGTCAACAGAATAAGCACTTGCTCAGGCAAGCACAGGGACCAGGTGTGATCCCTGACACGACATGCCACGTGGGCCCTGCCTCCGGGCATGCTGAGCTGGCCAAGAGACCCTATGTGGTGGCACACACCTATAACCCCAGCACTGGGGAGGCTGTAGACAAGAGGATTACTATGAGTCTGAGCTGCATAGTGAGACCCTGTATCAAACACATTTAAAAGAAACAAACACACAAAAAACTGTCCCTCTTTGACGGCAAGATGGAGACCATTTCCTATATCATTATTGAATGAATTTTCTATAAATGAGCTTATAATGTTTTTATAAACCAAAAAGCAAAAGCACTCCCCAAAAGTACCTGGATTAGGCCTTTCCCCTTTTCGTGGGAAGTGAGACACTTTGGCCCATAACTGAGTGCAATGCTCACCAGGAAACATCGGGGCAAAACAAAAACTATCGAAAATGATGAAAGTCTTAAAATGGCTATGGTTAATGTGTTACTGATAAAATTTTTTAAGGTGCAAGATATAATAAGAGTTTAATAAAAAATGTAATGGTCAACTTAAAAAAAAAATTACAGGGGCTGGAGAGATGGCTCAGTGGTCTAAAGCACCTACTTAGAACAAGCTTGGCAAAGCATCAGGGACCGCGGTTCAATCCCCCAGCACCACATGCCAGCCAGCCCCGCCCCCTGGTGGACTGAGCTGGCCACACACACACACCACACTCTCTCTCTCTCTCTCTCTCTCTCTCTCTCTCTCTCTCTCTCTCTCAAATAAATAAATAAATAAATAAATAAATAAATAAATAAATAAAATTAAAAAAAAAATTACAGTCAGATCCATTGCTATCACTTTCAGTTTCCAAATTTGAGCTTTTGTTAATAAGACTGCAGTTTTGATTTTTAAAAAGCCTCTGCCTAGGACTTTGTTTTGATGTTATTTTATCATAAATCAAATGTATTAATGGTTAAGAGATTTGACTGTAATGGTTTATGTCTAGGTGTCCCCATCAAAACCTCCTGCAGTCATGGGGCAGACTTCTAGAGTTTGTGATTAACTCATAATCCGCTGAGATTATGGGTGTGAGTACTGCTGGGATTATTGGTGTGAGTACTGCTGGGATTATTGGTGTGAGTACTGCACGCAGCCTGGAGCGGATAGCCTGAGTACAACATTAGGGAGACAGACTTGCTCTCTGTTGCCATTATTGCCACTACTCCACCCATGTGCTTCTGCTCTTGCTCTTTGCCGCTGCCATGAACTGCTGCCCTCTGCTGTGTGCCAGTCTGCTTTGGAGCCAGCTAAGTATGGACTGAAAGCTCCAGTAATTGTGAGCTAAATAAACCTTTCCTTCGTTCATTTTGGGTGTTGGGTATTTGTCCTAGCAATGAGAGAAGAGTAAGTAAGACACTTGACCTATATTTTAAGTGACTTTACTGAGGTATAATTGATGTAGAATAAAACTTAGGTATTATTCTCTTAGGTATATTCTCTTGGGTATACAGTTTGGTGCACTTTTGCATTTTTAGACAGATTTGAAATCTGCAGTACAATCAACCAACATAGGTTCTTCAAGCCCCTGTGCTTAGACCCATCTCTAAACATCTACTGCTTTCCTTTCCATAACTTGAGTTTTGCAATCTGCTAGGATGATATGAATTAAATGTTACAATAAAATAAAAAAAAAAAGCAAAAGCAGGATAATAAACTACCGTTCTCCAAACCTGTCTTCTCCATCTGGAAAAATGAAAGTCTCAGATTTCCTTCCTGCCCCTGCCTGTGTCCTGCTTCCTTACCAAGTGGGTTGTCATCTTCATCCTCCTCTCCTTCCTCCTCCTGAGGGCTGTGCAGGTGCTGCTGCAGGTGCTGAGTGACGTGCTCACAGAACTCCTCCATGGCTGAGCAGACGAAGGAGCAGGACCCCCACTCGCACTGGAGCCCCAGGTTCTCCTTCCGGGGAACCTTCCCAGGAGGCGACATGGCCTTCACCCTAGAGGAACAGGAAGAAATTCCCAGCTGCAAAGGTTCTACCCAAGCTGAGCAGGCAGCCTGCCAAGAATCAGCAGGTGTTTTACCAAGTGACCCATGAGAAACTCCGCGCCGTTTTGTTGGTAAACATGGAGTAGCAGTTCCTCACACCCCTGGAAGCTGTCTGGAGTTCCTGGGACAAGAGAACAAAAATGACACTGTTGAGCAGGCACTAGACCCTGAGCCAAACGCTTTCACAGACATCTTCTCATGAAGCTTCAGGGTAACCTGCCGAAAAGCAATTACTATGGGAGGCAGGCCACTGCGCAAATTCAAAGAGATGACTATAGAAGGGCTAGAATTCAAATCCAGGCTTTGCTGTTGCACCAGGGATGGCATGCACCGATGGTAGCTGTGTGACCTTGGCCAAAATAAGGATAAGAAGACTTTCTGTTATGAATTTCATACTATGTCAGGCACATTAAACATTTTATTTGCATTATATCATTTAACGGACACAAATTTTTTCTGATTTTTTTTTTCTTCTGTATTTTAGGGAAGGGTTTACAGGGTGTTCAGGGTCTCATTACTAGATTGGATTCATGGTAATTCCCCTACTTACAGCCTCCCAAATGCTGGGATTAGAGACACACGCCACCACGCCCAGTCTCAATCAGGTCTCAGAGCAAGCCCTGGGGGCTGGGTCTGCATAGCAGGCTCAGAGATTGAATCCCTAGCTCCTGCATCTGCTTGCAGGTGCTTTAATCTGCTGAGTTATTTGCCCCGCCCTTTCTTTCTTTTTTTTCTTTCTTTCTTTTTATTTATTTATTTATTTATTTAGTGTGTGTGGCCAGCCCACCAGGGGGCGGGGCTGGCTGGCATGTGGTGCTGGGGGATTGAACCGCGGTCCCTGTGCTTTGTTTAGCTTAGCTTGTTTAGCTTAGGTGCTTCAGACCACTGAGCCATCTCACCAGCCCCATTGTTTTTGAGACAGGGTCTTATTATGCAGTCCAGGCTGGCTCTGAAGTACTATGTAGCCCACACTGGCCTCAAAATTGCATCCATCAATACACTTAACACACACACACACACACACACACATACACACCCCTTGCATCAATTCCCCTGCCTCAGCCTCCTGAGTGCTGGGACTACGATATGTACCACCCCTTACCTCCACCACCAAGTAGACACTATTTTTTTTAACTTTATTTATAAAAAACATGATCTAAGACCACACATTAATGGTGTGGTAAAGTCCAGTCAGGCTGATTCTTTCTTAACATGAGGACATCAAGTCCATCCCTACTTCTTTTTTTTTTTTTTTTAACATTTATTTATTTATTGTGTGTGTGTGTGTGGCCAGCTCAGCCCACCAGGGGGCGAGGCTGGCTGGCATGTGGTGCTGGGGGATCGAACTGTGGTCCCCGTGCTTTGCCAAGCTTGTTCCAAGCAGGTGCTTTAGACCACTGAGCCATCTCGCCAGCCCCCATCCCTACTTCTTATTAGAGATCTTGTCACAAATCCCCTGCCAGATTTTTAAAGTGTGATACAACCTGTCTTTGTTTATCAACCCCACCACTCCCTTAACATTGTACTAAAATGTAGATTGCAAATCAAGGATGATGGCATACACTTTTAATTACAGCACCCTAGAAGCCTGAAAGAGGACTGAAAGTTTGAGCCCAGCATAGGAAACATAAAGACTTAGTGAGAACAAGTCTAAATAAATAAAGAAATAAATAAAGCTCAATATAGCACAATCCCCAGCACAGCCAAAAAAAAAAAATTAACTAGATTCCCTTCCAATATAAGAAATCTGTCTTGGTATACTTCACCTTGTTTATCTGCCTATATAGTGGCACATATACTTGGACATGTAATAATTATTTGTTGAAAGAAGACTAAAACAAAATTAAAGATTTCACCAAAATTGTAGAGGAGAAGAAAGATACTAAGGATCCTTGACTCTCCAGGATTCCCACTGATTCTGCTGCCCTCTCATGGTGGCCCCAGGAAGGGAACACCCTAAGTGCTCCCTCTGAGCAGATGGAGACACAGAAAAAGACCTTTACTACATACTGGAAGGGAAAAACAGAAAATATAAAACATATAAAATCCTGGATGCCTCCAAGGATGGGCTTCTAAACTAACCATGCCTCCTAAACCTACGCAGCCTTTTCTCCTCAGAGATGAACACAGCCTGTCTGTGCTAGTCAGAAAGTCATTAGAAGAAAACACTATTTTCATAATGTTGAGGTAGGAAAAACTGGGAGAGCCTTCCAGATGTAATATCTCACACTTTCAGACTCTACCACCTATACTATGGAATGTAAGGCTCTTCTTAAACTGGCCTCAATTTACCTCTCCAGGGCCTACCTAAGGAAACTAACACATAGTGAAGGCCTGTGGTATGTGAAGTCTTGAGGTAAGCCCTCTGAACATTTCACTTGGCAAGAGTGTCCTCCAACTCAAATGCAAAGATCATGTAATAGTGGATACATGGTGTCAACTTGAGGTCTAGAAGCTTAATTAAGTAACTCAGCAGTTCTACATCCTAGTACATAGAGAACATATCCTCACTGTTCCACCATACTGTTCACTGTGTCAATTTGAGAAGTTTCGAAGATTAAGTGCAGAGGGCCCAGGTCCTCCCTCTGTAAACATTCTGAGCCTGTCCAAGAGGAGGACGTGGAGATGGTGTGACTGCTACACCCACCAGAGGGTGGCTAACCTGCTTACAATATAAGGGAGGAAAAGAGGCTTGCTACCTCCCCCTTTTTTGCTCTTGCTGCTTTTGCTATCTTCTGCAGTCTTGAACTGTTGCCCCTGTGCCATGCCACCCTGCCTTGGAGCTTGACTATGGACTGAAACCTCCACAACTGTAAGCTAAATAAACTGTTTCTCCCTCACTTTTGGGTATCAGGTATTTTGTCTCAGCAACAAAAGAAAAGTAACCAAGACAGATCATGATCTTTTTCCCAATCTAGTTGCTTCTCTGACTTCATCTCCCACATATCCATTCTCTTTTCTATTTTTTTTTTTAAATATATTTAGTATCGGGTCTACGGGGTCTCACTACACAGATCAGACTTGTAGTGATCCTCCCCATTTTCAGCCTCCCAAGTACTAGGACTACAGGCGCGCACCACCACTTCTCTGCATGCCCTGGGGTGGGGCGGCGCAGGGCTGGCACAGCACACCAGGGGTGGAACCCTGGTCTCTGGGTATGCCTAAGCAGGCACTTTAATCCGATGAGCTATTTGGCTGGCCCCCATTCTCTTTTCTTTCTTTTTCTTTAGTTTTTTGTTTGTTTGTTTGTTTTTGTTTTTAATTTTAGGGGTCTACAAGGTGTTCAGAGCCTCACTACTAGATCGGACTCTAGTGATTCCCGTTTACAGCCTCCCAAGAACTGGGATTACAGACGCGTGCCACCATGCCCTGTCTCAATCTCAGTCTCAGCGTGTCCTGGGGGCAGGGCCAGCACAGCAGGCCCAGGGATCAAACCCTGGCCCCTGAGCCTGCTTGCAGGTGCTTTAATCCGCTGAGCTATTTAGCTGCCCCCTATTCTCTTTTCTGATTCAATTGCTCTGTAGTAAATGTACTACATTCTCCTAAACTTCGACTCATCCTTCAAGTCTGAATTCTCTTCATTGGTGACCCCATCCCAATTCATCCAAATACAACTGGAATGCCTCATCACTTGCCCAAAGCAATCCAGACACACCTTAATTATAGTGTGTGTACTTAATTACAGTAGCTTTGATCCTACAGTATAATGCAATAGAACATCTGTCTCCCCTACACTGTAAGTTGCTCAGGGCAAAGAGGGTCACATATTCTTTTTCCATTCTCAAGGTCAGTACAGTTTTGTATGCCCTAGCTCAGTGGCAGCAGCGAACCTGTGGCATGTGTGTCACAGCTGGCTGTTTATTATCATTGAAAGCTCTCAAAGGTTCACCATCACTGCCTTAGATGCTCAGTAAATCCTGGGATATGACCACATTCTAGGAGGCCAAACTGTCTCACTCCTCAGCTGTTACTTTTGTCTTTTTGTACCATAGCTGGCACTGTTGACAGACAACATGAAATCTCAAAACTACTTTTATGCTGCCATCGTCACCCACTGTCCTTTTAATTGTTCTCATTTTGTTTATCTAACTTGAGCTATAAGCTGCTTCTGAGCAGAAACCAACCACACAGTGCCCACCTACATTATGTTGAGCATACACTATGTCTACATATTGACCATAGTGCTGAAAATAAATGTTCTGAACACAAATGTTCTGAACACATACCTGGTTTAGACTGATGGATACGACCTAGAAGGACGACCAACCAGCAATCTAATGACCTGAAAAGCAAAACTCTGGGAAGATGCCATACAAAGTAACTATACAGTCATCACTACACTCTCTGTAGGCAAGGAATACACATAGCATTAGTATATTAGAAAGGAAACAAGAGCCAGCTGTCAGACAGGGGGTTCAAGTTTCCTGTCTCAATTAATCTGCTCTTTCTACTAAATATCACTTCTTCACTTCTTCGCAATAAGGGGGGGTCTACCCTCGGGCCTCCAGACCTTGCACTTGCCAGGCAGGCACTTATGCCTCTGAGCTATCTCCCCTGCACTCTACTAAATATTTCTTAAATGCCAAGCACTACAAACTCATCAGTACAACAACTTTATTGGGTAGGTACTATTATCTTCCCATTTTAAGGATGAGGAAATGGGTCCAGACAAGTTACATAATTTACTCAGGGGCACAGAGCTGGAAAGTAATGGAGATGAGCTAAAAGTTAAGCAGTAATTGGGTTCCATTTTCCTCGCCTGTCCTACTGGTCCCATTCAAATGCCTCTCCATTCAGACCTGATACCAATATACACAATTTCCAGAACATGTTTTATTAAGTCATTATTTTGTCAGCTTTCTCCAGTTAAGCTGTAAGTTCCTCAGAACTCTAGCCTGTGCCCTGCTTAATTCTATATATATAGGGCAAGTGCTCACCTAGGAAGAAGTTCTTGCAGTGTCTTGTTTGTTTTGTGGCTTTGGAGATGAAACCCAGGGCCTTGAGTATGCACCCCCAACCCTCCTGCCACGTTGTAAGGAAATTTGTAAGTCACTACTTTGTTTTGGACCCCTCACCTGGGTTCCCTAAGCCTCTTTCCTTACATGTAAAACGGAATACTAACATTACAGCCATGGGTTTTGGATTCTACTGATCTGGTTACAAAGCCCCAACATTTACAACTACATCATCTAAGGTAAGTTAGTCAGGCTTTTGCTTCCTATGAAGCACGGGAATAATTTTACATGCTAGTGAGTTAAGAAATCAAGCACAGGGTGCAAGAGGTGCATAAACGGAATTCCAGCACTCAGGAGGCTGAGAGTAGAGGCTGAGACTTCAGGCTGGGAACGTCAAAGCCAGCCTGGACTACATGTCAAGGCTGGGTCTCCAAACAAAAGAAACAGACACTGGATATTAAGGTGTTTAGCTTAACACACCTCTAGAACTCAACAAGTGTCAGCTATAAATATTCTTGTTGCTGAGGGTGACAGGCCCAAGCGTGGATACTGCAAAAAGACCAAAAGACTCTTCTTCATCAAAAGTCAAAGCAAGCAATCAGCAAACACTTTGTGTGTGTGTGCGTGTGTGCGTGAGTGTGTGTGTGTGTGTGTGTGTGTGTATATACACCACATACTGACACCCAGCACACGTCGGTATCGCCAATAACAAGACACCGAATGAACCCTGAATGGCACGCAAGGAAAGGATGGACCCGCGTCCTCAACTCCGAAGGACTCCCAATTTGGCAGAAAAGACAGCACTCTGACGCGTGAAGACAACGACCAAAACAAAGCGCCGATAAGGGAGATCAGGACGGTCAGGAACCCCGCGGGCAGCTGAAACCGGGAAAGCTCGCCTCAGCAGAGAGGGTGAGGTGCGGGCCACGCTTCGAGGACTGCAGAACTCGGAGGGACGGAGAGAGACCTCCGGAAGGCAAAAGCTCTCCTTCGGAGCCCTGCGGACTTCCGGGACTCCTTCCTCCCGGGCGCGGCGGTACTCGAGTCTCGGCAGCAGCGAAGACCCCTAACCAGAAGCCGGGAGGTGCAAGTCGGAGCGACAGGACCCCGATAGCCCGGTGCAGCGCGCTTGGAACCCTCGACGAGGCGTCTCGGAAGAGCCCGGCCTCTGCAACTCCCGCCGAGCGCACCCCAGCCGCCAATCCCAAGGAGCGCGGAGCCCCAACTTACCCAGCGCCTACTCCCGGGCTCTCCAGCTCTCCACCCACCTCAGCCCACCAGCCCCCACGGCGCTTGAGCGACAGCCAAAAACAGCCAATCAGTGTGCTCTGGTCGACCGGCAGCCAATGGTCGCTGCGCCTGAAGGAACCCGTGCGCACCAAAACACGGAAGGGGCGGGAACGGCGGGGGGCGGGGCTGAGCATCCGCAGCTGGAGTGAGGCGCTACCGGATGCTGGGAGAGGTACAGGCTGCCTGCCCCGCCGGCTGTGCCCGCGGGTAACTTGGGGTCCAGAATTCACCCAACTGCGCAGACTCGGCACGCGGGACCTAGTGGGCATGCGCAGGGCTCAGGCGGGGCTCCTGTGGGGGTCTTCTCGCTCGCTGGGGGCAGGCTTTCGTTAGCACGCAGCGTGGGCGGCACGGAGCAGGCAGTGTAGGAGGCTCCCTGCCCCGCGCTGCTGTCAATCTCTGGCCTAATTGAAAGCCTTACAGCCAATCCAGCCTTCATCCTCTTAGTCGTCTTTTAAATATTGATATTCCTGTGCCCACTTCCGCTCAAATATCTGCCTAGGGTCTTTTACTTCATAAACCTAATACGTAGTTACCCCCGATTCCTCCTGCACCGGTCACATCCGCTGCACTGCGAAGTTCTGTGGAGTCTAGCTTCTCAAATACAGTATCTGAAATTCATCCTCCTTTATTTTCACCTCCCCCAGCCTAAGTGATGGGTGCTGTCCAGCCCACATCAGAGACATTAAACTGACTGGTCCCACTGCTGCACCAGCTTCCCACCAAAGCATCCTCCACGGAGCACTCGAAAGTGATCTTTACAAAAATAACAGGAAGCAAATAACAAAAACAAAACCACAAATCTGACCAGATCACCAACCTATGTAACTAAACTGAGGCTTTCAGATCCTTCAGCGCCTGGATCCTTCCTTCTTCATTCGTATCTTGAGTCCAGCTCAACCTTATTTCCTGCTTCACCACGCCCAGCCACCTTCAGCCTCTTCCCTTGTAATTGCTGTTTTCTCTGCCCAGAACAACCTTTCCCATCTCCCTGTCTCAACATTTATAACATTGCTGTTCCATTCTGGTATCAGCCGAGATGCTTTCCTTTCCTTTTTTTCCCCCATAATTTTATTGAGAAATAAATAGCAATGAGACAGTTTCAAATCAAATTGGTAGGACAGTTCCAATAATTAACACATTGCATACTGCCTTACTAGCAGTTATTTGTTGTACAAGATGCAGACATGATATCCTACTTACAAACACTATCAACAAATCCCTCTATTCATTGAATTAAGAGAATGTAGCTGTATATCTATCCTAACCAGATACAAAATAGTCACTCATCTGTATTCCCTTTTTTTGTTTAGGTCCGTCATTTAAATATTATAGGTGTGTAAACTCAGCAAAATATTCCAAAATAGTCCAGTAGTCCATAATAGTATTGGGTCTTCCACTTGACTGGCAATGTCAGAAGTTGTTGACCTGAGTCCCCTACAGCTCAACATAACAACATGGCTTTATCCTTTCCTTTCTTTACTTTTCCAAGAAACCTTCCTTGACCTGTATTTCCTGTGTTTGCAAAACCGGTCTATCACATAGTATTGTATTTGCCTGTTTACCTTTCTATATTCTGGTACAGAATCACTCATGGAAGGAGGACAGGGATTGTATCCTTCACTGGTATAACCCAATCACTTAGTCCAGCAGCTGAAACTCTATAAGGGTTCAACATACTTGCTAAATAAATTATGTATCTTAGTAATGTTCATTGGGATTGATATTTTACTGCACTGTAGTTTTCTGTATCTTCTAACCTAGAAATAACCAATATCATTTATATAGTCAGAGAAACACACGACATTTCAGTATAAATGAAGTGAATTTAAAGATGCCATTTGATGGTAGCGAAGCCTCGAGACCAAAAGTGGGAAGATGTGAGTCAGGGTGAGAGGATCAGGACAGCCTGGTGTAGTGTGGCTGAGCTGCAACAGGAGTCCTCGACTCCTATAAGGTAAGGGCTGGGAGTATAGCTCAGTGATACAGCACTGGCCAATAGAGGCTCTGGGTTTGAGAGCCATGGAGATAGCTCAGCGGCATAAGCACCTGCCTGCCAAGCCCAAAGTCCTGAGTTCAATCTCAGTTTAAAAGAAAAAGACCATGGGGGGCCGGGGAGATGGCTCAGTAGAATAAGTGCTTCCCTGGCAAGCACAAGGGCCTGAGTTCAATCCCCAGTTCCACAAAAAAAAAAAAAAAAAAAAAAGAAAAGAAAAGAAAAGGAAAAGGAAAAAGACCAGAGGCTCTGCGTTTGATCCAGTGCCACCCACCAAGAAAAAGCACGTGAATTTTCTTGTTGATGCTACTCTTTGTTGCAATAATGACGACTGGACTCAGGGCCTAGCACGTAAGAGAGAGAAATACACTACTGTGGAGTAACTTTTTCAGTATGAATATTGTTTTCAACAGTGAATTTTAGCTTAGTCCTCATTTTAAAATAGGATTTTAAAAATATAATTGAAAAGTACAAAATATATTTTACCAACTATATTCATTCAGAAATGCATATAGTAGAAACCTCAAGAAATGCCAACCTCGTTTAATCCAGACTTAACACCTCTGAAAATGGCTCTGCACTTTATTTTAGCAGTTTTGTGAAGAATAAGTTCAATCACAGAGTTACGTGAACTCCAACATAGGCTTTCGAGCAAAAATTTCACTATTGCTGTGGAATCCATCTATGTTTCTAAAACTTAAGGCAGTTTATTGCTGTCTAGCATAGTTTTCTTCTATCTCAATCTGCTTCTGTTGAAAACAAGCCAAATTTTGGCTGGCTAATGCAAACATATTCTGAGATTTGTTCTTTAAAAGCTGCCACTAGGGGCTGGAGAGATAGCTCAGAGGCATAACACCTACCTGGCAAGCACAAGGACCCGAGTTCAATTCCTGGTGCCACGTGTAGTGTTGTCTTGGCACCCAGGATCCTGGGCCGTGCCATCTCGGCCCCGGATGCAGGCGCCCATGGTTTGGCCCACCCCTTTAATCCTAGCAATACGGAAGTTGAGCCAGGAGGATCTCTGAGTTCCAAAACTGCCCAGGAACTACAAAAGTGAGCACAAGGCCAGCCCAAACTGCATAGTGAGACCCTATCTAAAAAAATAAAATAGTGGCCTAGTCCACATCCAGCTGGCGAGTACATCCTCTTGCTTCTCTGCCGCCGGTCCACACCGCTACCAGCTCGCCATGGATGACGATATCACTGCTCTCGTTGTTGACAACGGCTCTGGCATGTACAAGGCTGGCTTCGCAGGAGATGATGCCCCCCGCGCCGTCTTCCCCTCCATCGTGGGGCGCCCAAGGCACCAGGGCGTCATGGTAGGCATGGGTCAGAAGGACTTCTACGTGGGAGATGAAGCCCAGAGCAAGAGAGGCATCCTGACCCTGAAGTACCCCACTGAGCACGGCATTGTCACCAACTGGGATGACACGGAGAAGATCAGGCACCACACCTTCTACAATGAGTTGTTGCGTGTGGCTCCCAAGGAGCACTCCGTGCTGCTGACCGAGGCTCCCCTGAACCCCAAGGCTAACCGTGAGAAGATGACCCAGATCATGTTTGAGACCTTCAACACCCCAGCTATGTATGTGGCCATCCAGGCTGTGCTGTCCCTGTACGCCTCTGGCCGCACCACTGGCATTGTGATGGACTCTGGTGACGGGGTCACCCACACTGTGCCCATCTATGAGGGCTACACCCTCCCCCACGCCATCCTACGTCTGGACCTGGCTGGCCGGGACCTGACAGACTACCTCATGAAGATCCGGACTGAGCATGGCTACAGTTTTACCACCACGGCTGAGCGGGAAATTGTGCGTGACATCAAGGAAAAGCTGTGTTATGTTGTCCTGGACTTCGAGCAGGAAATGGCCACCGCTGCATCCTCCTTCTCCCTGGAGAAGTGCTATAAGCTGCCCGACGGCCAGCTGATCACCATTGGCAACAAGTGGTTCCACTGTCCAGAGGCTCTATTCCAGCCCTCCTTCCTGGGCATGGAGTCCTGTGGCATCCATGAAACCACCTTCAACTCCATCATGAATTGTGATGTTGACATCCGCAAGGACCTCTATGCCAACACAGTGCTGTCTGGTGGTACCACCATGTACCCAGGCATCGCCGACAGGATGCAGAAGGAGATCACGGCCCTGGCCCCCAGCACGATGAACAGCAGGATCATTGCTCCCCCTGAGTGCAAGTACTCTGTGTGGATCAACGGCTCCATCCTGGCCTCGCTCTCCACCTTCCAGCAGATGTGGATTAGCAAGCGGGAGTACAACGAGTCGGGCCCCTCCATCGTGCACCGCAAATGCTTCTAGGCGGACTGTTACTTCGCTGCGTTTCACCCTTTCTTGACAAAAACCTAACTTGTGCGCAGAAAACAAGATGAGATTGGCATGACTTTATTTGTTTTTTATTTTTTGTTTTGGCGCTTTTGACTTAGGATTTAAAAACTGGAACGGTGAAGGTGACAGCAGTCAGTTGGAGTGATCATCCCCAAAGTTCTACAATGTGGCCGAGGACTTTGATTGTACGTTTTTTTTTTTCAACATTCCAAATATCGTGAGATGCATTGTTACAGGAAGTCCCTCACCCTCCCAAAAGCTGCCCCAACTCCTCTGCACAGAAGAGGGCCCAGCCCTCCCCGAGACCATAGAACGGAGGTGATAGCATTGCTTTTGTGTAAATTATGTAATGCAATTTTTTTAAATCTTCACCTTAATACTTTTTTATTTTGTTTTATTTTGAATGGTCAGCCATCATGGCCCCCCTTTTGTCCCCCAACTTGATGTATGAAGGCTTTTGGTCTCCCTGGGAGTGAGTTGAGGTGTGGAGGCAGCCAGGGCTCACCTGTACACTGACTTGAGACCAGTTCAATAAAAGTGCACATCTTAAAAAATAAAATAAAAGAGACCCTATCTAAAAAATAAAATAGCCATGCGGGTCCTGCCCCCAGGGCCTGCTGAGCCAGAGACTGAGTCCAGGCATGGTGGCGCACGCTTGTAATCCCAGCTCTTACGAGGCTGAAAACAGGAGGATCACTATGAGTCTGATCAGTGTAGTGAGACCGTGTACTAAATACATTAAATAATAATAATAAATAAAAGCTGCCACTGAAAGAAAACTTAAAGCAGAATTTATTATTAAAAACTGTGGATCTCTTAATGTAAAATGGTTAATAGAATTATGTATTCAGTTTCACACATGCTAGGCAAACTTTATTTTTGTGGAACCGGGGATTGAACTCAGGACCCTGCACTTGCCAGGCAAGCGCTTATTCTATTGAATTATCTCCCCAGCCCCTAGACAAACTTTATCTACATCCCCAGTCTTGCATTCATTTTGAAAACCTATTTGAAATGTGATTGGGCTCATCTTTTGCGGAACCAGGGCTTGAACTCAGGCCCTTGAGTTTGCTAGGCAAGCCCTTATTCTACTGAGCCATCTCCCCGGCCCCAGGGCTCATCTTGACTTTAGCAAATCTCTTTCCATTGGTCTCTGGGCAACATAGCACCAGACACATATCCAGCAGGACTCTTGACTATCTGCCCTCTATCAACAAGTTTTCTATGAAATTGTGAAGTACATGTGTTTGCCTATCTTTAGCACTGGTAAACAAACTGCTTCAGGAGAAGAGCTTGGAAAATGAGTTTTCAAGACCTACAGTTGAGCATTTCATTATATAAAAGTAACTAATCACCCAAATCCAGTTGCTCTTTCCAAATTCTGTATATTCCATGACTAGTATGGAAAGGAGGATGGAGAACATCCATCCTTGGGTTCTCTTGGGTAGATAGCAGAGAACTACCTAAGCATGTGTCCTGAATTCTCTGTGATGTAGGTAAGTCACAGAATGTCAAGGATAGAGGGATAGAGGGGCCTGCTGGTTAGCTCAGTTGTTTAAGCGCCTGCTTATGCAAACCCAGTCAGGTGCAGGATACCATGGTTCGATCCCCAGCTCTGCATGC